AAATTAATGTAGGAGTGGTTATGTATTTGTGTTTAATTTTAGGATTATGCATATAAATTGTTGTTGACAAGTTTCACAATCATTACCTTTTGTCTTTCGGAAAAAAAAATTAAGTGGGCTTCTATTACCATTTCAAATTCGCTCAAACAGCACTATTCGAAAATTCCCTTTTCTTTTCCACATTTTTCTCCCGCAAACATAACTCCTTTTTGCAGACATTTGTATGTTGGCTCTGCTCAAACTCCGTCATTCGTAAAAAAGTTTAAATTAAATCATCCTCCGCATTTTGCTTTTACTTCGTTGTTGGTCAGTGAATGATTAGAACAACCTAGGTCACCATCTCCATTTAGGCTTCACTCAAGTCACTTTCCTTCCTGAATTCCTTCTTCATACCTATCTAGGTTGGGTTTCACGATCTCTCATCTAATCAATTCTAAATAGTAAAGCTTCATTTCCCAATAAAAATTCATCAGTTACTCAATGCTAGCCATCAATTCATTCATGTAAGTTGTTTCTTAGAATGTCTATAAGGAAATTCAATTGCATGATGCAGAGATAAAGCTTGAGTTGTCGTAATTATAATGATGATAGGCAGTAAACTATAAGGAGGAACATTACATTTGTCATCACTGTTATTTTCTCTGAATCTTTGATTATTGAATTAATATTGCATGGTATTGTAAAGTGGAGGTATAGTGTCTCTATGGTATATTTTTTTTTATAATGATGATGAACTTCAAATTAAATGAATGAAACCGAGCAAAAGTACAGGTACAGAGACCCACGAGGAGTGGGACGAGGGGAATAGAAAGGTTAAATGTAATACACAACTATGGAAGTATAGATTGGTAGTCTAAGACTACAACATACACCTTAATTACATGCTCATGACATGCAATAGTCTCTCCCTTTCATTGATCTAAATTATGTTTATTACTTAGGTGCTTATTTACCAAATATGTGATTTTTTTACTCTCAGACCTCATTCAAATACATATTAGTGTCATGTTGATGATATTTCAAAATACAAAGTACATCATGAAAAAATAACTATGCACAACAATGCTATCTTTTGACTTTAGTTATATCATTATTTGAGGGCTAATTCCACTAGAAGACCCGAACTATACAAAAAGTGTCATTTCTGTCCTAAATATTCACTATGACAATCCTGGCACGACGTACTATATTTTTGTGTCATTTGTAGCCCGACGGTTTCTTTGACCATTAAAGATAACGATTGACTAGATGGAGGTCAAACCATCATTGACTTTGGCTAATGTGGCAGAATCTTAACATCCATGTAGACGCCGAGATGTCATTAATCAGTATTTTATTAAATATTTGTATTCAATTAGATAAATATTCTTTATCAAAATTAAATTAACAAACAAAAAATCCTAAATCCCACCACGCATTCCCCCTCCCTCTCGACCCAAATTCTTCATCGTCTCCACCGCCGCCGCAAAACTGCTCCCCCAGTTCCTTCATCTCCACTGTCCTCTCCCTTCACCTCAAGCACTTCGAGCTCTTCTCACATCACGATTGGTAATACCATTATGAGACATTTCCTCTAACAGTTAATCATGCACTAATTATATATTAGGCATGGGTTGTCCTTTCCGTTAACACATCAATTTGGGATTAAGAGCAAATTTGACGGTTGTGAAATAGGAAGAAGGAGCCCGCCGGTCTAGTAATAATAGCTCGTCTGCGTCAATCCCCACGAACATGAAATGAAATCATGGAGAAGCTTCTCCGCCCGCCTCACCTTCTCCCCTCCCTCCCTCCGCCTTCTTCTCTTCCATAAACCTCATCCACCCAAAACCATCCTCCATGACAAAACCCTTATCTTCCATAATGTCAAATGCCACATTAGCGTTTGACTAGATTTTCTATTAAAATTAACGATCAATGCCGGTCAACACTAACGGAAAAATAGTTCGTGCCAAATTTGTCATATTGAATAGTTTATGACAGAAATTACACTATTTGGATAGTTGGGGCTTTCTAGTGGAATTAGCCCTTATTAAATGATGGACATAGGTTATACGTAACAATCATGGACCAATTTACCATTAATTGAGCAGTCTACTACCACCAGAATGTTCAATTACTAAGTTTGTTCAGTTATACATTCATCAAGTGAAAAATATATTGAAATAGCTAGCTCTTACTCGATTATTACATATGATAATTTGAATTATATGTATGAATTAGTATTAGGAGACTTGAAGAAATGTTAGACGTTAACAATATTTGGCCCAAACATATAGATGCATGAAAGGAAACATCAATGAAAAGTTATGTACAACATATGAAGTTGAAAACTATTGGCCAATTAAAGAGCAGATGATCGTGAATATGATCATCAAAATGGTGATGAAGTAGTGACTCTTATTGTTTTACATGATCATTGCTTCTAGCCACACTCAAATTAAATGTGGCGGCCCTCCCATATCATACAAAGTTTGAAAATAATAAATAATCTTAATAAGTATATAAAAAAAATAGTAACTGAGCATTATTGAGAAAATGACAAAAAAAAAACATACTGCCCCGACAGCGGACACAAAACTAGTTTATTTAGTACAAGTAATCTCAATTTTGAGATGAGTAGAATTATTGAAAAATCATGTAAATACTCTGGCATTGTTGAATCGTTAAAATGATATATGGTTCATGTTTTCAGGTTTTTCATTATGCAGCTAATCGGTTTCTAACGTAAAGGATATCAAATTTGACCAAATAATATTGCTTTTACATATAAGTGATAATCTATGGTATAGATTTAAAAAGTGTTGGGACTTTGTTGGCCCTGATATGGTCGGATTCGCAAGGAGCTGCTGGGAGGATCCATCAAGGGTGGAAAGGGTCAATGCAACAATTTTGGTTCTCATTCCAAAGCTAGCAAAACCCACCCTCATTGAGCAATTCAGGCCAATAAGCCTTTGTAATGTGTCATACAAAATTATCACGAATAGCCTTCCGAAGAAGCTGAAGCCCCTGATGCCCAGTTTAGTGAATGAAACCCAGACAAGCTTTGTTCCGGGTCGACACATCACTGACAACATTTGTATTTTGCAGGAGGTTGTCCACTCGATGCGAGCAAAGACAGGGAGGAAGGGCTGGATGGTGTTGAAAATTGACCTCGCCAAGGCCTACGATCGAATCCGGTGGAGCTTTGTCAGGGACACCCTTCAGGCTGCAGGAGTTCCGGAAGAGTTCAGCAAACTCGCGTTGCAGTGCATCACTTCAGCGAAGATGCAAGTTCAGTGGAATGGCGGTTTAACTGAGGAGTTCTTACCATCTCAAGGCCTACGTCAGGGGTGCCCGCTCTCCCCGTACATCTTTACTCTGTGTATGGAGAGGCTGGGACACTTGATTAAAGCCTCGGTGGAGAACAATTCATGGAAACCAATTCACATATCTCACAATGGACCGGATCTTTCACACCTGTTCTTCGCGGATGATCTCATTCTAATGGGTGAGACCTCGGTGGCACATGCGGAGGCGATTAACACTTGCCTCGAGCTGTTTGGGGCAGCTTCGGGTCAGCAGGTTAGTCGACCCAAGTCGCGAGTCTTCTTTTCGGGTAATGTCATGCAGACACATGGAGCCGCCATCAGTGAAGCACTGGGAATACAGGAAACAAAGAATCTTGGTCGCTACTTAGGAGTGCCGGTTATTCACGACAGAGTTTCTAAAGCAACATACACAGCACTCATTGACAAGATTGATGCCCGGTTAGCTGGATGGAAGGTCAACTCTCTCAGTCTCGCTGCGAGGATAACCCTAGCCCAAGCAGTTCTCTCCTCCTTGCCGGCGTACACTATGCAAACTTCCTTCTTACCAGCGAGCGTACGGGATTACATCGACAGGAAGATAAGAGCTTTTCTCTGGGGGAGCTCCGAGTTGGGGAAAAAAATTCACCTGGTAGATGGTCAACTATATGTAGACCAAAGGAGGAGGGTGGATTGGGTTTGAGGAGTGCGTCGAAGATGAATGAAGCTTTTATGATGAAAATCGCTTGGCGTTTGCTCTCGGAACAAAAGAGTTTGTGGGCAAGAGTTGTTAGAGTGAAGTACCTCAGGAAGCAGGGTGACATATGGCAGCCACGCACAACTGGGCGTTTGTCTAACTTGTGGCGGGGTGTTCTCCGAGTACTGAACCTGCTCCCTAAGGCGATCATGTGGAATATTAAGAGTGGCACTTCAGTACGCTTCTGGGAAGACCGGTGGCTGTAGGATGGACCGCCGCTTGCAGATTTGGTAGGGGAGCTGCCAATGGAAGCTAAATCTTTGACGGTGGCTGAATTGGTCCTTAACGGGGAATGGAATGTGCCATACCTTCAAGCGTTCCTACCGCCAAGTTGGGTGCACCTAATTCAACTCCACCCGACACCGCAAGAAGATAGGGAGGACCTCCCGATCTGGAGTCTCACAGATTCGGGAAAATTTACTCTAAAGTCAGCTTATGATTTAATTGATGAGGAAGCAGCGCCAGGAGGTCATCAACCGTTGTGGAGAGTAGTTTGGCGAACGCCAGCAACCCAACGCATTCGATCCTTTTTATGGTTGGCGGTTCACCAACGACTCTTAACGAATGAAGAGAGTAAGAGGAGACATCTCACCAACCTTGACAGCTGCCCCTTGTGCGGTAATGGCCCGGAATCGACGCTCCATGTCATCCGGGACTGCTCTTATGCGAGGGCGGTTTGGGCGGAGTTTCTGGTGGGCGAGGATGATGAGATGTTCTTCCAAGAAAACGTGGATCAATGGCTCCTGCACTTTCTGTTGGGACGAGGAAAGAAAGTGGATGCGACGTTGTTCGCTGTGGTGTGTTGGGTATTATGGAAGTTTAGGAACACCTGAGTATTTGAGAAGCGGCTTGGAGCAGTCGCCGACACCCAAAAGCAGGCTACTTGGTGGCATGCCCTGATCATTGAAGTTTGGAGAAAGGAGGAGCAGGTTTCCACAGAAGTGGTAGCTAGAAGAAGCATGCTCATTGCTTGGCAGCCTCCCCCGACGGGGTGGTCTTGCTTGAACACGGACGGCTCGGTTCTTTATAGCCAGGGGAGCTCCACAGCGGGAGGAGTGATTCGGAGGGAGGATGGACGGCTAATTCGAGCTTTTACAGCGAACTTGGGAGGAGGATCCATCACGAGAGCTGAACTTATGGGAATCTGTATCGGACTAAGGATTGCGTGGGAGGAGGGCGTAAGGAAAGTGGAGGTTCATTCGGACTCAAAGGCTGCACTGGCGCTGATTCAAAGCGCGCCGGAGGGGAGCTCGCACTACAACCGGGTTGTCCAGATTTGTCGGCTCATCGTGAGGGAGTGGCAGATCAACCTCAAACATGTGTTCCGGGAGGCCAACGTGGTGGCGGATCACCTAGCCTCGTTGGGACACTCTCTCGGCAATGGTGAGCACCTGATCCATGCCACAACACCATCACTCAGCCATCTGCTTCTTCATGATGTACTGGGCATTCAGTCCTCTCGCCTTGTTCTAAGTTAACGGTTGGAGCGCCGTCTCGCTCCAGTTTAATACCAAAAACAAAAAAGAATTTTCCTAAGTTATTGGAAGGAATGATATATGATATAGGGTCATCTAGATGTTGGACTTGGGTCTAATTTTCCCATATCCACTATTTAGTTTTAAATTCATAATTGGTTTGTCCAAAAATAATGTTACAATGTTCATATGAGAGTTGGCATTAATATCAGAATTTGCATGCTTTGTGGAAATTGGAAAATTTATCGATGATCGAAAATGTTATATATCCAAAGTAACAACGTAATGTGAACATTTGATTTTGTTTTTATGATAAATACTAACATTTGAACATTCAAGTACAACACAATTAATGAATCCTTACAAACTTCACCAGCATAAGTTTCATACACTGGCACTCACAATTACGTTATTCTCCATGAGGTTTGCAACTGCGCGTGCTTCTCAAGTAAGGTACCTCTTAGTCCTGAGACTTTTTTTTTTTTTTTTTTTTGCCAAACGATCACTCTAGAAAAGAGGAATCAGAACCGATCACTGTTTACAACGAACCTATCTACTATTGTACCAAGCTACAAAGTCGAACCCCCTAAGAAAGCGGGGCGACAAAGACAGAGCACGACGAGCCACAGAATGGGTCACCCTGTTCCTATTACGACCAATGAACACTACCTGGACATCAACTAAATCTGACATCAGAAAACCAATCTCTTGAAGGAGGACACCAATCTTTGCATCTGAGTCCTGAGACTTGGGGACCGGTTACTATGACAACACTCCTTGTGTTGTTATTGTAACAACACTAGTCTACAACCAATAGGAAGCTAGGTTGTGATGACTTTTTATTAGATGAGTTGACCTAGTGTAAAATCAAAGTAGGGGTATAATTGTTATTATGAAAAATCTGTTTAAATAATAATAAAAAAATATTTTTTTATTTTCTTCCCAAAAATTTGGTCGCCGGAATTCTGCCATCGGTCGCCGGAAACCGGCCTCCAGTCACCGGAATATGCTTTTTGTCGCCGGAATATGCTTACCGGCGTCGGAATTAGGGATGGCAATGGGTCGGGTTGGGGCGAGTTTTGTCAAACCCAAATCCATGGGTTTATCCGCCAAAAAAACCCGGGGTAAAACCCGCTAGGTTTGAAAAACTCAAACCCAACCCGACCCGCTGGGTATCCGCGCGTTCATGGGTACCCGTGAATTTTTGTGGTAAAAAATTTACAATAACAAGTTTCTTTCAAAATAAAAGTTTAACATCAATTTTCTCATACAAATTATTCATGCAAAAAACACCAATCTAGAATATACAAGCAAACCGCAAATGATCAATACAAATTGTTCAAAATTAAAGATAAACATCTATAAACAATAAGATTAATTGAAAGCTTCTTCCTCGTCAACTAAGTTTCTTCACTCTCCACTTCATAATATCAACTTCATTCTAAACAATTAGAAAGAACAAATTTTACATGTCTTCACAAACATAAATAATATTAGTTGTTTAAGGAAGATATATTATTTAGAATATTAAATATACTGGGAAAGTAATTATATGTGTGTGGGCAGGTACCCATGGGGCGGGTTTACCTAAACCCAAACCCAACCCGGTGAATAGTGTAGGGGGTTTAAACCCAAACCCGGCCCAAAACCCGTCAACACGGATTTTACCCGGGTTGGGTCGGGTGGATACCCGTGGATTCGGGGTTTGTTGCCATCCCTAGTCGGAATATGCTTACCGGCGTCGGAATCTAGTCATCGGGGCCGGAATACGCCTATCGGCGTCGGAATCTGCTCACTGACGGTCACCGGAGTTCGGTCAACGAACTTCGTTGACCAGTCAACGGTCAACGATCACCGAATGTTATGGTTAGCATTGTGAGATTTATGGTTTGGTTTCTCATATTTTTTTATGCCTTTTGTGGTTTGCTTTATCGTGTTTGTGATTTGCATTGAGAAGTTTCTGGTTTGCTTTCAAAAACTTTGTGGTTTGCATTGTGAGGTTTCTGGTTTGTTTTAATATATTTGTGGTTTGCATTAGGACGTTTATGGTTTGCTTTTTTGTGGTTTGATTTACTGTGTTTGTGGTTTGCATTAGTAGGCTTCTGGTGTGCTTTTCGCAAATGTTGTAGCTTGCTTTGTGAGGTTTGTGGTTTGTTTTAGGAGATTTGTGGTCTGCAATAGGAGGATTCTGGTTTGCTTTATTGTGTTTCTGATGTGCTTTCCAATTTTTTGTGGTTTGCTTTGCGAGGTTTCTGGTTTGTTTTAATATAATTGTGATTTACTTTGCGAGGTTTTTGGTTTTGTTTATTTAAGCGAGCTGCGACGGTGTCTCGTCTAATCGATCTCCAGGCTGCTTTAATTTGTGGGGGTAAAACCAGATCAGAAGCTCTCCGTTAACTTAATGTCGGCCGAAAAGGACGAGGCGGCGGCATTCATCGAGCTGGTCCACCCGAAGGGCATTGTGAAGCTCTCCGTTACCAAGCCATCCTTTGGCATTCGTGTCTTCATTTTTTATGCTAGTCTTAAGAATGTCGATCTGCTCTTTGCAGCCTTAACAAACTCAGCAACCTATTTAACAATAGAAACAAAAATTCAGCAACAATTAGCACAGCAACAATTAGCGAAGTCCTTCCGTCGCGAATCCACCACAAGGAAATCGATTCCGGCCAACCCCCGCATCACCTCCTCCGGCTCCCCGACCACAACCTCACCGCCCGCCGGGACATCAATTGAATTCCCACCGCCGTCGCCTGACGCAGGGCTCGCAAGTACTCCGATCTGGAATCCTCATCCGGTACCACGCAGACGTGGCGCCCGCCGGAGTGACGGCTGGCGACCGCGAGCCCGATGTTGGTCGCCACCGGCCCGCCGTGGGAATGAAGGAGCTAGCTAGCTGTACCGTTTTCAATGCAGCTCTGGTGAAAGACGACGATTGCTTGGGCTTGTGAATGATGAAAGATGCCATAATTGCTGCCAATTTCGACTGCGGAAGACACAAACAAGAGGGAAAGAAGAAAACTCAAAAAATTGAACGAGAAATTGTAATTTCTTGCCGGAGAAGCCCTTGACAAATTTTACCTCGTCGTATCCGGCGGAGACGGCCGCGTGCCTCACCGCATCTTTGAAATCTTCGTTCCTGTCCCTGATTCTCGCCATTGCCTTTACCTATCAAACTCCACCGGAAAAGTCTGGCTTCCAGGCAGCTTGGTCGGCGGCCGCACGGAGACCGCTGGCGATTCGCCTCAGATCTGGCGGCGGGAAATTGAGCACCGCCATGCTGGGAGAAAGATAACCGTCGCCGGAGAATGGAATATAAATCTGGGAGTGGGAACAATTTATGTTGGAGAGGAAGAGAGCGCATGAGCAGAGAAAGTCAGTTAATTTAATTTTTATTTTATTAAAAGGGTCAACCCTCTTACCCCTCTTGTTATTATAATAACACATTCAGTGTTGTTATTGTTATTGTATCCCGTCCCTGAGACTTGAGAGAAGGGAATTTTGAACCTAGGGATGGCTACAAAATCCGAACCCACGGGCACCCACCCGACCCAACCCGGTCAACGTGGGTGTTGCCGAACCCACGGGTACCCACCCGACCCAACCCGGTCAACGTGGGTAAAACCCGTGTTGACGGGTTTTGGGCCGGGTTCGGGTTTAAACCCGCTACACTATTTATCGGGTCGGGTTGGGTTTGGATTTAGGTAAACTCGCCCCATGGGTACCTGCCCACACACGTATAATTACTTTTTCGGTATATTTAATATTCTAAATAATATATCTTTCTTAAACAATTAATATTCTTTATGTTTGTGGAGACATATATAATTTGTTGTTTCTAATTGTTTAGAATGAAGTTGATATTATGAAGTGAAGAATGAAGAAACTTAGTTGACGAGTAAGAAGCTTTCAATTAATCTTATTGTTTATAGATGTTTATCTTTAATTTTGAACAATTTGTATTGATCATTTGTGGTTTGCTTGTATGCTCTAGATTGGTGTTTTTTGTATGAATAATTTGTATGAGAAAATTAATGTTAAACTTTTAGTTTGAAAGAAATTTGTTATTGTAAATTTTTTACCACAAAAACCCACGGGTACCCACAAACCCGCGGATAGCCAGCGGGTTGGGTTGGGTTTCAAACCCAACAGGTTTTACCCCGAGTTTTTTTTTTGTGGATAAACCCATGGATTTGAGTTTGGCTTTGACAAAACCCGCCCCAACCCATTGCCATCCCTAATTGAACCCGCTGCTTTTATGGTTTGAATTGTCATTTTTTATTTTCCCTTTGTTTTTGGGCAAATGCCAACCCATGATTTATGAATGGGGTTATGGACTTATGGCCCGTGAAGAAGTAAGTAGATACCCATGATCACCGGACCAACCCCACCCAACAAAATTTTGGGCCACTTTCCTTCCCCATTCCATATTGGCTTTGGGATCTGTGCCCACCCACCTCCACTTTGAATTATCGACATGGATCAGAATCAGATGAAAGCAGACAAGTTGTCTTTTAAAAGCAGTAGGCCAGGCCACACACACTCTCCACCGTGCAGCAGAAGAAGGGGATTTTTAAGATTGCTTGTTACATGAATTTGTAGAGCCAATGGCCTAGGAGTGTTATTGCTGTTTGTTGTGTAGTCAAGTCCCAAATTAAATTACTTGGGTCCATCCATTCCATCCCCAACTCAATGAATGATTTCAAAAGTAAATGCTTTGGTTCCAATTGCAGCTTTGATCAATCCTGAGTCAGCAAAACTGGCCCATTTGTACCAATCTGGTGCTACTTACAGATTTCTCTTGGTGGTGAAAAAGTTTTGAAGGAGCTCATTGGTTTTGGACAGAAGCCCCCCAATTAGAGTTGCTTCCTTTCCTTGTGCCTGCTATGGTTGTGGTGGGACAATGAAGCTTTGACATGTATAGGACCGTTTGATTTCCCCCACAAGAAGTGAAACAAACCTTTAGAAGAACCTTGAACCCACAAAGCTCCAAATGGCCAAAAGAATCTCAAACAGAAGAAAAGAAATGCCCCACTCTATTATTGTACTTCAGCGAATCAGTGAACCACTTATGATTGGCCTTTTCACCGCCACTAAAACTGAAACCCACAAGAAAAGGAAATTCATCCGTGGTTTTCCTTACAGCCATTTGTAAAGGACAATGAGAGCTGGCCTGCACAGTGGCACTGAAATGAACTCTAGGGAGTAAAGTCCTCAAAAATGTCGACCCAATTGCAGGGATAAGAGGGGGACCCCTTTCAATTCTGCATTTCAAGTTTTGTCTTTGTTCTGAAAGCCCATCATCATGCCAGAAGAAGGAAAGGAAATGGAGACCTTATCCACCTCTTCCCTTATCAATTTCATTTCATCCCATCTCCCATTGTTCACTTCATTATGCACATTTTGCAACTTGCTCCTGAACAAGTTCAGGGGGGCAAAAAGTAGAGAAGAGGAACACAACTGAAGTTCATATTAATAATAAGACCCTAAGATAACATATCTTACATGAACTGATCAAAAGCCCAAAGCCCAAAATGAAGCCAACAGAATATCAAAACATGGAGCACATGTTTCACCCTTCCTTAATATGTGACAATAGATCCCATTTTCACCCTTCCCCTCTACGCCACAAGCGTCTTCCCCCAGTTCTTTTTTACAGTGGCATGACCAAGCTTCATTTCATTTCATTCAGTTACTACTACTACTACTAATGATGGTGGTGCTGGCACTCCTCAGGTGTCACAGGGAACCTAGAATTATCACTGCAGTAGTCATAGACCATGTGGTTGGCCTTGACCCAAAGAAGCTGATGGCTCTGGTGAAGGTTAAGCTCAGACAATGCCGGTTCATCCCACCAGTACTTGTTCTCGGCACTGCTGGTGCACTTCTTGGTCAAATCAGCTGCTGAGACTGACGAAGCTGGGCTCTCGCAGGCATCAATCTGGAACCCTTGGTAGGAGGCAATGAATGGGGCATGGCTCCAATCGGTTTTGATCCTACCGCCTTGGGTCGCCCAATCGTCAGCGTTCCAGATTGAACTGTAGACTCCCATCGGCTGGTCTTTGGGGAAAGGGATTCCCTTGTGCTCCAAGTTTGAGTGCTGCCTCACCACAGTGTCATCTACTAGAAATCTGCAAGATGAGAAAAACACCCATCAGTATATGATTAGAGAGTGTCACACAAGATGCAAACTTTCTTCATCAAAATTTGGGAATTCAATCTGACAGACAAACACCCTTTTGAAAAGGCTACTCCTTAAACAAAACCCACTTGTCACATCAAACAAAAAGAGGCAAGCTTTTCATTTCACGAGCCATTCTGACTTCAAAGTTGAAAGGCAAAGTTATCAAGAACAGAGATGGCCCCCCTCATCATGATTTCATACACACTATAATACATTATGCTCATTACAAGTACCAATAATGCTGCAAAAGATAACCCACGGGACCCCATATTTGGCACAATAATATCATCCCAACTCCCAAGAGCCGATTTAAGTAATGCCTTTTTCTCCTTTCCTAGTGGCTTTGTTTTTGGTTTTATTCTTTGAAGGACACAGTCAGAGTGTCACATGACTGTAGAGAATATGTAACACTTGGTATACTGATTCATCCCATCTCACTGCCATTTGTTAATCGATATCTTTGCACACACATATACCCATAAGAGAGTGATGATGGGTTACTTACATAACCTGGCGCGGGTTCCAAAAGATGGAGTAGTTGTGGAAATCCTTGGTGGGATCAAACCAAAGGTTCAACCTTTGCTCCCTGTTGCCAACCCCATTGACATAGACATTAGTCTGGATGAGGTAGGGTTCCCCTGTGGTGTTGCCCAGAAACTCGAAATCGAACTCATTGTGATTAGGACCCTCTGATGACATCTGCAAACAACAACAAAGAAGAAAAAGATTACAACTTTAGACCAAAACCCACCAAAGATTTCACCATCAAAGCATCTAAAGTGACCAATAATTGAAACCCAAAACGATCTCTGTCAATAAATTGACAGATGCTATAAAATCAGAGGTCACTTTAGGTTTAACATTGTAATGCTACGTAATAAATTGCAGTCGGTTGTTGGTAGCTAGAAGCTGGACTAGCTAGTTTTGGCTAATATCCTCCCATGAATGCACACAAAAGTCCAAAATCATTCGTCTCTCGGGGGACCCAAATCATAAATCTCAATACAGCTAAGGTGAAATCCATTCCTTGTTATTTCATCACACGGATAGACAAAAATTATTATTCACGGGTTTTCCCCCCTCCCAATGGTCCTCCACCTCTTGGAAAAACAGGGGACCTCTGTTTTTCTTTTGTTTCTTTGCTTAATGTTGGGTTATACTTACATAGAAGGCAGTAACAGTCCCAGCAGAGTCTCCCTCCACAAGCTTAATCTGTATATTCACCTTCCCAAACAGATACTTGCTCTTGGACTGAAACCCAGATCCTGAAAAACAACAAAAGAAGGAGATAATGAACCCATTAGCATCATCCTGATAGCAACATAACCAGGCGCAAATGGATGAAACCCAGAACAGTGAAGTTGCAGACGAGAAAAGACAATGTGATGGATTTTATAAAAGTTACCAGAAGCGTTATCTAGCTTGAGCTTCAGCTGCTCTCCCTCATAGATGAGGTGATCGAACGCCCAGCTTGGCTGGAACAGCTCGTCAAATTTGGCCGAGGTAACCAGACCCACCATCACAAAACCCATGAAAAACCCCATCAGAAGAGTCATTCTGAATACCGAGACCGCCATTGTGACCAGAAAAGGAGCTAGCTCTGGCTTGTGGAAGAAAAAGTAGAGCAGAGCAAGAGAGAGAGTGAGTGAGAGTACACCGATTAGTGATAAGCAATTTCAACCTCAGTCCCCATTTATAGCCCCGAAGAAGACCTTTGTTGGTTGGCTTGCGGGGTAAGGGAGGACACCGACACGTCATATCATTCCACCACCTCACCCGCCATGTCAGATAAATTCAATTTTATATTTAATTATCTAAAAGCAAAAAAAAAATGGGAGAAAAAGAAATGTAGCCGTTACAGTGTCTGTGCGCCCACTGGCCACTGCCCTGCAACCTTTCTCGTCCTCTCTTAGCTGTCCTAAAGCTGGGTGAGGCGAGGGGTAATATGGGTACGGCATGTCTCCTATTCAGAAGGAGCGCCCTAGATCCCGTCCAATCGCTTTCCGACACGGTGGAGGAATACAGCTGTTCTCATTTACCTGTCCAGTTGTCACTGGGGATAGAATATGAGTTCAAAGAGGTCGACGCAACTTTTTTCCTTTTTTCTTTTTTTCGTTAATTGCATGGTTGGTCACTGACATTACAAAAAAAGTTCAAGTTTGGTCACTCGAAATATTTAAATCCATTGGTGGTACTTCAGTTTACTGAAACTGTTCACGTTTGGTCACTCTCCGTCCAATTCCGTTAACTTTTGCTTACGTGGCGGTCAAACTCTAAAAGTTGACCGTTAAATGTGTGATGTGGCAATTTAAAAATAATAAAATTAATTTTTTTATTTTTAATAGTTAGAAATTAGATGAAAATTTTAAAAAAATCAATTTTATTATCTAATTTTACCCCGGTGAAAAAGCTACCGCCACCATCGCGATTTCCATCTCTTTCACCTTCCTTCTCTTTCTTTACCGCAGCCTCCGTCGCTCCCCTGATTTCGACTCTTCCATCCCTCCGGCCAATCGATAACTTCGAAGCACTCCTCCCTTCGAAGACCAGCTCGTTGGCAGACAGGACATTGAGGGTGATCTGAGTTTCGATTCCGCTGATCTGTATTTCTCTTTCCGTCTCGTGGAGGTTGCGATTGGAACACTGTTGCTGCTGTCGGACTTTGAGGCGTCAATGCTGGGATAACGAGTCCGCCTGCCAGAGTTTGGAACGCAGCTCCCGCTGTGGTCGGTTTGTGCGCTGCGGAAATCAGGCGTTGTTGTTCGTCTTCTAGAACCAAATGGAAGGCGGCTACCAAATTGGCGTTGGTTGGAGGTTTAAGATGTGGGTTCTTACGGCATTAAAGCTCTCATTTAAACCAATAATGAAATCATACAACATCTCTCTATTCTTGGACTCCCTTAACTGTTTTTGGATATCGCAGGTACAGAGCCTGCAGAAGCATTGTGGTAGTGGAGAGATTGCTTAGAAATGAGATGGAAATTTTAAATTATTTTATTTTATTTTTAAATTGCCACGTCACACATTTAACGGTCAACTTTTAGAGTTGACCGCCACGTAAGCAAAGGTTAACGGAGTTGGACGGAGAGTGACCAAACGTGAACCGTTTCAGTAAACTAAAGTACCACCCATGGATTTAAATATTTCGAGTGACCAAACTTGAACGTTTTTTGTAATCTCAGTGACCAACCATGCAATTAACCCCTTTTTTTCGATAGAGAGGTCGACGCAACTCGCGGGTGAAGGCGAAGGAAGATAACGCGCTTTATTTTGGCGACGAGTGTTGGTATCGAGAGTGAGTGGGGAAGATGTGGTGGTAGGGGGAGAGTGAGAGGGGAATGATGTGGGGGATTCAGGCTTTTATTATTTCTTATTCTTGGGGGTTTAATAGGCTTTAGGTGATGATGGCAGCAGCCAGCTGGAGAGTACCTAAATTTTTAGCCCATTTTCGTGTAATTACTAATTACCCTCTGCCTTCTGATTGATTCTTGACTTGAATTTACACAATATCATGAGGAATTGAGGATGGCATGTTGCTCGGTAGAATCGATTAAACCGGTTACAAGATCGTTGAAAATTTTCTCGTATAATCGGCATGATCGATTTTTAATTTTCAAACAAATTGATGTTTTTAAGTTTCTTTCATATATATATATATATATGGTGCCTTCTACGGTACCCTAGATAAAATCCGGGGTACCACGTATCCTGAGTATAAAAACGCTATCTAGAACTCGAATTAGCAGGATTTTTGGGCATGATACTATACCCTAACCCTTAATGAGTGAACCCTAGGTCCTAATTATCTAAATCTAAACTATAAACCCTAAGATGGCGCATTGATTTTTTTGCATATATTTGGACGAATCATAACCGTCGATTATTGTTTCTAATTAAATTAATCTTGACGAATAAGATTTAGAGAATTAAGACCTAGATTTTGATCTTTAAGGGTTAGATTACAGTATCATGTCCGAAAGATCAGTCAATTCAGGTTCTGGATATCGTTTTCTTACTCAAGGTATGCGGTACCCCGGATTTCACCCTGGGTACCGTAGAACTCCCCATATATATATATATACATATATATATATATATATATATATATATATATGTGGTGGCGTCTTCGGTGCGCTCACTTTTTTTGGTGCATTCAGTGCACTCGCTTCATAACCGTCATTTTAAATATGCGATTTATGTCAAAATGATGTTAATCATCACTTATGATGTGATGAACAATAACGCACATGAATTTGTACAAAAACCCATTAAAGATTTACTTTAATTTGAAAGATTTAGAGTTTAGTGATTTAGGGTTAGGGTTAACAATTTGAGATTTACACTCTGTTCATAAGCGAAGGAAAAGGAGGAGAAGAGAAAGTTAAGGAGGAAAGTTGGAGTCCCAAAAAACTTTCCACCGTTTTTTAAGCTATGCACAGTAACTAGGGGAGGAGAAAAGGAGAGAAAATCTCCTGTGCTATCCGACCTCCCAAATCGGAGGGAAAAGAGAGAGTTGCCTCTCTCGTGCGTCCCAAGCTTCTCTCTCTTCACTTCTTTGTTTCTTTCTATTTCCATTCTTCTTTTATCTTTATTAATTAATTGAAGCAAGTAGTTAGACGATAGAGTAAATTATGGAAAGCAAAATATGAAAAGTAGATCAACAAAAAAATATTATAATTAATGAGTAGTAAGTGATATTTCCATTAAATTGTTTGTCTCGTATTTTCAAAATAAAAAACTTTCATCATTAAAACATGATTTAGGAGTTAAAAACATGATTTAGGGAAAAATTTAAATTGAATAAAGATCACCGCTATGAAGCCCTAGTCAAAATTCGCAATTAACAACTTTTAAATTGAATAAAACATGATTTAGTCAAAATTTAAATTGAATAAACCAACTTTTGATTTGTTGTAGTTAACAAAATTAACAAAGAAGAACAAATTTGATCCACATTACATAATTAATGTAAATAATATAAACACATAATTAAATTATTTAACAATTCTATTATCAATAAAATATAATACATATCACAATTCCCAATCTACTTTTTCCCTCCCACTTTCCATTCCACTTTCCTCCATTAAACAACATTTTCTTTCCAATTCCCTCTAATTTCCCTCCCTTCCAAACTTAATCTCCCCTCCAAATTTTCCTACCCTCCCCTCCTTTTCCTCCCTTCCTTCATGAACATAGTGTTAGGGATAGAACTCAAAATTGGAGGTCTAGGGCTTAGGGTAATCCGCTAATTAGTTGTTAGCATATGTTATATCATCATATTACACTAATTCTACAAATTAAAATTCAAAATCCAACACTTTAAGACTAGTTTTTGAATTGGGTGCATTGAACGCACTCATTTTTGTCAGTGCACCGAAGTAGCCACCATATATATATATATATATATATATATATATATATATATATATATATATATTCATTTTTATATTCATTTTGTGTTAATAATTTCTTACTTCCTTACATATTTAATAAAACCGTATAAATTAACATAAATACTTGTACCCAGATCGAACCATATCACTTGTCAAACTAACATAACGGTATAAACCGGTTTAACAACCATACACACAACTACAAGAGCATTACCACATATCCCATTTCTTCTAGGATTTTAAAAATTTCTTTCCTCTTTGGAGCATAAACAAAGTGTAGATTTTTTAGGCAAAATAAGGAGGACAAAAAACTCTTTGATTATTCAGTGCTTTATTTTTCCAATTTTAAATACGCGTGCCAAAATTATGAACTTTTTTACATTTGAAAGATACTGTCACTATGTTTGGGGACTTGGGGTAAAAGGGAGGTGGAGCAAATTTGGGGTTATATGCACTTTCTGAAACATTTGCTCATATTTCCATCGTTTTGAATGTTCGTTGTTTGCTAAGTTGCTATATTGGTTATAGTCTTTATAAACGTGTGAGAGACCTTCACCATTATAAAAAAAATTATATTAATAAGAAATGTCGATAAACTCAGTAGCTATTAATAGTGGCGTAAATGATAACGAAGTTTAAACATTCAATACTCAGAGTGAGAACATTTATGGTTTCTATTTTCGAATACCTTACGGTTATGTATATCATTTTCAATAGATCTAGTAGCTAAGGTAGAAATCGGTACGGTATTGGTATTCTAATACCAAATACCAAAAATCCGAATACCTAATTACACCATAATATCAATCTCAATCTCTAAATAATTTCGGTATCTCAATCCCTAAATATTTCGGTATCTCAATCGGTACATCGAGATCTCAATCGGTATTATCGAATATGAAATTAATTACCTTTGTAATTAATAATTAACTATATAAATTAGATTTGATTGTTTATTTTAGGGCAAAGAGATTAAGCAAAGAGTCTTGAGTTTACTATGATCCATAAAAAAAAGTCTTGAGTTTGCCTAGAGCTAGGAAATGGATAAGGAGAATGGATGAGAGGTGACATCTCAAACTCTAGTCATTGGTAATCTTTAATTTGACGAATTAGAGGTCGAGAGACGACTAATGTTAGTGTTTGTATTTTGGTATTATGAAAATAACAAGAGATTAGGTGAGAGACAAGACTGACTTAAACGGGAAAGTCAAAATTGAGTTGGATGAGGGCTTCTAAGTTGTGAAAGAGTAAGGAATAATCAAAGGTTGTGTGCTATATTTCATAATTTTTAATTTATTGGTATTTCGGTTTTATACCGATTCCAATTTCATAATTCTGAATACTAAATAACACTCCAAAATGAATCCCAATCAATAAAAACTAACTCGGTATTCGATAATACCAAATAATAATAAATTCGATACGGTATTCGATATATCCCAAATACCGGTAACAAACTTCCAACCCTATACCCATTATCTTTCTGCAGAATTTGACAGCAGGATTCTCTTATTACCTCTGATTATTGTTCTTTATGGTTTCCAAGAATTGGGCAAGTGGGT